ATTGTAGCTGTGCGTTCAACACCCAAACTGACTCATCTTAAATTAGGCATAAATACCGGAATTATTGTTTATGCCCTGTGAATGTTAGCGGTTTGACCCATGGGTCAGCAGTTTACAAAAAGTGACAAATCAGCAACCTGAGTAAGTTATTAATAATTTACATAAACATTGAATGCAATAGTCCACCTTCTCTTTCAGTCTCTCTCACACAACACGAGCCACGATGCATTTCACTTGTCTTGTCTCTTTGTCTCAGTCATGTCTCAGTCATTTATTCATTCATTCATCTTTAAAACAATGTAAACTACATTTAGGATGTCTATTATTGATGACAGGTGTCCACAGACTGCTAAAATCAAACGTTCTTCCGTTTCTGATTCATTGACATTAGGCTGTCAAAGGCTTTCACGATGCAGCATCAGAAGAATGTTTTTCACAAGTTTTTACATTTTTACCCTCACAAAAACTGTGTTTGTTGGGTGTGCACACAAACTTAAATAAGCTTGTTTTCCCCATGACCCTTTGCTAGACTGCACAGAATCATTAATATAATGTGTTTGTGTTGTTTCTCAGACCTTTGATGAGTGTGTGTCATCGGGGGGGTCGGACTGTGCTCCTGATAAGCTGTGGCTGCAGATCCCCTTCTTCTGCGGACACCATTCAGAGTGCTGGTGAGTGACAGAATGTTAGTTTGATGCTGTGCATTACAGCGGAAAAAAGAATTGTCAACTTTATTGTTTGCTATTTTCCAAATGCAAGCCTGAGATTTAAAAATAAAACAATCAAGGTGTTTTTAACAACCTGCAACTAAGTGTTTACGTAAGAGGCTGTTAATTAACACTGCTATCTCTGTACATTCTCAGATGATGCAAGTACAGCATTATCATTAATTTAGAACTGTCAACAGCTGTTGGCCAAAAAAAAAAGTGAAAGTTGAAACTTATTATAAAGCTCTGTTAAGCTGCAGATACAAGTTAGAGATCCCTCTAGCATTACGATAGTGGATGGTCTTTACACAAGTCTGCACTCCCTTATAGTTCTCTTTAAAGTTCTTAAAATGAGCAACACCCATCGCATTGTTTTCATAGTGATTTAAAACACCATTATGAAATGAAGGTACAGCTGCTTTACTGAATGTAAATAAAGAGACGCTGAGCATCTGCATTACTATATCTGATTCAGTGAATGCATAATCAACGTAAGATTGTGATTTCTCTTATTACAATCTGGTTTAATGTAGACCACAAATATAGAAACAGAAATTGCAGTATTTCTCAGCAGCGAATCATTGACTTCTCCCTGCAGAGTTAGAGATGTTTTATGCTGTTGTTGCAGGGATGCCGGCAGTAGATGGTCCCTGGAGCAGGCCAAGTACAATCTGGTGAACGAGTACCTGCTGGTGGGGGTCACTGAGGAGCTGGAGGACTTCATCATGATCCTGGAGGCCGTGCTGCCTCGCTTCTTCAAGGGAGCCACGGAGCTCTACAGAACAGGTAGCAGCTCACACACCTCGCACACACCTCACACACACCCCAAACACACCCCCCCAACACACCCCCCCACACACACCTCACATGCCCCTTTCACACCAACGCGGTTCCAGGGCCGGTTCGGAGCTAGAGCCTGATAAGCACCGTTTTTTCCTGTTCACACCGCAGCGGAGCCGGCTCTTTTCCCCGAAAACCGGTTCTTACCAAGTTCCAAAAAAATGTCGGCCTAGAAGCAAGAACCGCATACGTTGGAGGCGGGGGCAGGGGCGGGATCAACCTGAGCAATAACAGTTTAAGCGAGTACAGCAAATAAAAGTTGTAACAAGCAGTAGCGCTGAGCAAAGTGACTAGAAGGCAACCACACACTTTATAAAGTCAGGCAACACTAACCTTAAACTTATAGGGAAATATGCATCAGGGACGTAGCATTTATTGTGACAGTCAGACAGTGAAAGACGGTAGACGAGCCTCCAGCAGGGGGGGGGGCACATCTGCTGAACCACAGCAGCAAACACTCAGCCACACTCTCTGGGGGTGGGGGTGTGTGTGTGTGTGTGTGTGTGTCGTGAAGCCGTGCTTCAGTTTACTCTGGCTTTGTAAGAATAAAAGCAAAAATCCTTGGATGTTATTGATTTTTTTTTATCTGACATCAACCCTCCTCCTGTTCCTCCAGGCAAGAAGTCCCATTTACGAAAGACCTCTGAAAAGAAGCCCCCCATCAAAGAGACGATCGCCACGCTGCAGCAGTCGGACATCTGGAAAATGGAAAATGAGTTTTACGAGTTTGCACTGGAACAGTTTCAGTTTGTGCGCGCTCATGCCGTCAGGGAGAAAGACGGAGAGCTGTACGTCCTGGCTCAGAGCTTCTTCTACGAGAAGATCTACCCCAAAGTCAGCTAAGAGCCGGAGGGGGGAGGGGTGGGGGGCGCACGGGGGCTTTCCACTACACCAAACAGCATTTCCGCCAGGGGGGCATCTTGCCGTCATTTGACGCCATTATTCAGCTCGGAACGCCCTGAACTCGAGCCGAGGGCGTCCAAAACATTTTATAATTTGAGAAAAGATCGAGAGTTTTTATCGCTTGAAATAACGAAAAGGACAAGGACATCCTGCTGTTGGAGGGGCAAAGGAGTCTGGTGGGATTCTTTTCGGAGTATTGAAGATCGTTTCTCCGACATCGGCGGTGCCTGCCACAGCACAGCACAACACGGAGCGTGAACGATTTGGACGCGATGAGGGGGGTGCTACTGGAGCACGCGCGTTAACTGCGAGTGCCGGAGCCTCGCAGCGGCCAAAACTGAGGCTCTGTGGTAAACTGTGGTAACATGAAGAGAGCCGAGTCAAATGATCCGGCTCACTAACGTAAAGAGATAGTATCTATAAGGGACGGCTCAATTCAAAATCCCTCAGCCCTGGTCTGGCGGAAACACTGACCCCAAAGTCTTTACACTGGGAGGAGGTCTATCACATGATGCTGGTGGATGTGTCTCATTCAGTGGACTTTGTATTAGGAATCCTATTTTGTATTGCTGCAGTTTGAGAGAACGTAACGTGGATACAAACTGCGTGTGAACGGTGAGAAAGAGTTTAAATCAAGAGCAGGGGAAATTATTACTGGATCTGATCATCTCCAAACCCAAACACTCATCAAGTTCATTTGACTTTTTAAAAGTGGAGCGTCAAGATAAAAGCAGCATTCCTCAAGTTTAAAACCATTTCTGACTGCTTTGAGACAGAAACCGATCTGTATTCATTTTTGCAAACTTTTTCGGTGCACACACTGTAAAACTGTAAAAAAGAATCCAAGCTGCGGTTGTATATATGTATGTATATATATATGTATGTATGTATGTATATATATATATGTATGTATGTATATATGTATGTATGTATATGTATGTATGTATGTATGTATGTATGTATGTATGTATGTATGTATGTATATAGTATTAACAAGCAGGAAA